GGAATAATAATACTACTTTAGAGTTTTGATGTGAATATTAAATGAGTTCAGGGACATAACACATAAAGCGCCTAGCACGTGGTAGGAATTCAGTGAGTGTTCTCCCTTTCCAGAGCTTTTTAGTCCTGTGTTTAAGGTGAATTTCTCTTCTCAACTTACAGCTTCTGAAACCATATTTGGGACCGAAATTCTGTAGCTTTGAAATCACGAAGAAAATTTAAAATAAGGCCATTGAAAATCAATTTTTGTACACTACAATTAATTTAATCATAATTTACTTAATTTCTGATGAAACAAGAGTTATGCTTGAAATTTTGTCATTCTACCAAAAAAGAGAAATTTTCTAATTATGTCTTTTTAAGTTTTATTTTGAATAATATCAAATATATAGAAAATTGCAGTGGTACACAGATCCTCCTTTATTCACATTTGCCAGTATTTAACATTATGCCATATTTTTGTTTTCATTTTCTCTCTCACTTTCTCCCTCTCTCTACACACACACACACACACACACACACACACACTTTTTTTTCTTTACTGTTTGAGACTAGGTTGCATATATCATGCCCCTTAGTAAGTGCCAGTGTGTAATATGGATATTTTCATACATGACCATAATAGATGTGCCATTTCAGGAAATTTTTATTAAAAAATTTTTTTAATACAATTTTTAAAGGTTACTTTCTATTTACAGTAATTCGAAAATATTGGCTGTATTCTCCGTATTGTACAGTACATCCTTGAGCCTATCCTATACCCAGCAGTTTGTGCCTCCCACTCCCCCACCATTTTATTGCCCCTCCCCGCCCACACTGGTAACCACTAGTTTGTTCTCTATATCTGTGAGTCTGCTTCTTTTTTGTTATATTCACTAGTTTGTTGCATTGTTCAGATTCCACATATAAGGGACTTCCCTGGCAGTCCAGTGGTTAACAGTCGGAGATTCCAATGCAGGGAGTGCAGGTTCAATCCCTTGTCAGGGAGCTAAGCTCCCATGTGCTGCATGGAGCAGCCAAAGAAAAAGATTACACATATAAATGATATTATACAGTATTTGTCTTTGTCTGACTTATTTCACTTTGCATGATGCCCTCCAAGTCTATCAGTGTTACTGCAAATGGCAAAGGTTTGTTCTTTTTTTATGGCTGAGTAGTATTCCATTGTGTGTGTGTGTATATGTATACACACCGCATCTTCTTTATCCATTCATCTGTTGATGGACACTTGGGTTGCTTCCATGTCTTGGCTATTGTAAATAATGTTGCTATGAGCACTGGGGTGCATATATCTTTTTGAATTAGTGTTTTTGTTTTTTTCAGATATATACCCAGGAGTGGAATTGGTGGGTCATATGGTAGTTCTGTTTTTAGTTTTTTGAGAAACCTCCATACCGTTTTACACAGTGGCTACACCAGTTTACATTCCCACCAACAGTGTAGGAGGGTTCCCTTTTCTCCACATCTTTGCCAACATTTGTTATTTGTGTTCTTTTTGATCATAGCCATTCTGACAGGTATGAGTTAATATCTCATTGTGGTTTTGATTTGCATTTCCCTGTGATTAGTGATGTTAAGCATCTTTTCATATGCCTGTTGGCCATCTGCATTTCCTCTTTGGAAAAATGTCTATTCAGTTCTTCTGCCCATTTTGAAATAGCGTTGTTTTTTTTTTTAATATTTATTAATTTATTTGGTTGCACCGGCGGGCTCCTTAGCTATGGCATGCAAACTCTTTGTTGTGGCATGCATGTGGGATCTAGTTCCCTGACCAGGGATCGAACCTGGGCCCCCTGCATTGGGAGCACAGAGTCTTCTCCACTGCATCACCAGGGAAGTCCTGCATTGTTTGTTTTTTTGATGTTGAGTTGTATGAACTGTTTATATATGTTGGATATTAATCCCTTATCGGTCATATCATTTGCAAATATTTTCTCCTTTCAGTAGGTTGTCTTTTCATTTTGTCAGTGATTTCCTTTGCTGTGAGAAAGCTTTTAAGTTTAATTAGGTCCCGTTTATTTTTGCTTTTATTTCTTTTACTTTAGGAGATGGATCCAAAAAAATTTTGCTGCAATTTATGTCAAAGAGTGTTCTGCCTGTGTTTTCCTCTAAGAGTTTTATAATATCTGGTCTTACATTTAGGTCTTTAATCCATTTTGAGTTATTTTTGTATATGGTGTTAGAGAATGTTCGAATTTCATTCTTCTACACGTAGCTGTCCATTTCAGGAAGTTTTTAATTGGTTTAATCATACACCCAATCTATAGTCTATATTCCAATTTCATCAGCTTGTCCTATTAATGTCCTTTGTAGCAATTTTTTCCCCAGATCAGGATTCAGTTCAGGATCACACATTGCATTTATCTGTCATCTCTTCAGTTATCTTTTCTTCCTTCTTTCTTTCTTCCTTTTTTTTTTTTCCTGGCTGCGCCATGTGCATGTGGGATCTTAGTTCCCCAACCAGGGATGGAATCCACACCCGCTGCAGTGAAAGCTTGGAGTCTTAACCACTGGACTACCAGGGAAGTCCTTCAGTTACCTTTAATTGGGAATTGCTCCTCAGGCTTCCTCTGTCTTTTATGACGTGACATTTTGAAGGATGCAAACCCCTAGGTTTGTCTGATGTTTCCTCAAGATTCATTTCAGATTATGCATCTTTGACTGGCTTTCTATATAGGGATATTGTGTTATTTCTAGACATGACATTTGGAAGCACATGATGTCTATTTGTCCCTAATTGGTCGTGTTAATTTTGATTACTAGGTTATGGTGTAACCCACTTCTCCACTCTAGAGTCATTTTTTCATATTTGTAATAAATAATTTATAATAACTAGTTCAAAACTATGTAGATAGCCCGATCATCATCAAAACCCTACCACCAACACCAGAATCATTCACTGATGATTTGTTCCCGAACCAAATTTTATTCCGATGATTGCAAAATACTGATTTTTCTAATTCCATTGTTCTATATTTATTAGCTGACATTCTACCATAAGAAAGAGCTTTCTCTTTTCCCCCATTTATTTATATACTTATATACTATCAATAAGAGCTCGTGGATTCTTATTTTAGTCAATGGATTACAATGCTTTGCTGTGCTTAGTTATTTTGATACTCAAATTGTACAGATTTGGCCAGTGGGAGCTACTTCAAGTTGGCTCCATGCCCTTCCCACGTGAAGAATTCTGGTTCCTTTTACTGAAGAGTGGTTTTTAGAAACCAGAATCTGGGTTACACTTTTTAAACATTGGAATTCCTAAATTCTTAGAGAAGGAGCAGTGGGGAAGGTTTTTGGAGACTAAAATCTGCTGTGAAAGCCTAGTTTTCCGTAAGTAGTTTGAACACTTGTGTTTTTGCTTCTTAGATCTGGGTAAAAATATTCTTGTAATCATACTCAGACTTGCTATTATGTTTACTTATCAAATTTGTCATTTTTTAAAGCGGATCTTAAGGAATTTGAAGTAAACAGCAGAGATTGCTTCACTGTTGAAATTTTCTCAGTTGTTTATTTTAGCATTTAACATTCATTTTAAATGAACAAATGCCATCTCATGTATAAGATAATAGTTCTCTCCTCATATGTATCTAAGTAACAGGTATTTGTAAAAGCTAATGACAAAATACATATTTGTTTTCATTCTTAGATCATGTGGTGTGGTTCTATAGAGGTTTTTTTTAATTGAAAATACTATTAAAGAACTTCCTACTTATAGGACATTTGTACCTTCCAGGACATTTGAAGTAACAAAACTTGCTTGTGAGTCTTCATTAATGTTTTTTTGGTTGTTGTTGTTGTTCTTTTATAAATTTATTATTATTTTTTATTTTTGGCTGCGTTGGGTCTTTGTTGCGGTGCACGGGCTTCTCATTGCAGTGGCTTCTCTTGTTAGGGAGCACAGGCTCTAGGCACGTGGGCTCAGTAGTTGTGGCTTGTGGGCTCTAGAGTGCAGGCTCAGTAGTTGTGACCCATAGGCTTAGTTGCTCCGCGGCATGTGGGATCTTCCCGAACCAGGGCTCGAACCCGTGTCCCCTGCATTGGCAGGCGGATTCTTAACCACTGAGCCACCAAGGAAGTCCCCTTCATTAATGTTTTGATAGGGAGAATCTAAACAGTTTTTACATATTTTATTACATGCTAATATTAATCCACCATCACAGTAACTGGAATAAGGTGGGCCCTACAGTCACCCAGATCTCAGACAGATAATTCCTACCTAATTTTTGTCTTTCCCTTAGTTGGCATTATTAAGTTCCCCATAATATTATTTTTAATGTGCTGTATCAGTATTTGTAACTTCCAGCTTGGTATTTCTGCTGCTAAGTTCATGAAACGGGTTTTATACCTAAGTGAAAGCAGTTCTTTTTATTTAGTTATTTATTTATGGCTGCATTGGGTCTTCGTTGCTGCACACAGGCTTTCTCTAGTTGTGGCAAGGGGCTACTCTTCATTGCAGTGTGCGGGCTTCTCGCCGTGGTGGCTTCTCTTGTTGCAGCGCGCAGTCTTCAGTAGTTGTGGTGCGCGGGCTCAGTAGTTGTGGCTTGTAGGCTTTAGAGCACAGGCTCAGTAGTTGTGGTGCACAGGCTTAGTTGCTCCGCAGCATGTGGGATCTTCCTGGACCAGGGCTCGAACCTGTGTCCTCTGCATTGGCTGGCAGATTCTTAACCAAGCAGTTCTTTTTAAGAACAACACCTCTTTCAACCTCTTTCCCAAGGAGGTTGTAGACGCTGATTTGTCCTCATAACATGGGCCAGCTACTTGTTTTTAGGACAGATTCTAGAAATGGTATCGCAGATGGGAGAAGTTCTTTCTTTCTGCAGGGATGGCTTTCTAAGCTCTTCATCTTCGTGATTAGAACTGACTTGAGGATCAGATTTCCTGATGATTGACAATTGCGAGACCTTTGGTTCTCAAAGAATGTGTTCTTTTCAACGGAAACTATTGCAGAGGCCTGCTTTTACACCCAGAGCTACTGACCAGTTCTCTTTTCCTTTCTAGAAATGACACTCCTCTCCTCCCAGTCTTCAGCACTAGTGGCCCCTTCTGGGTCTGTGTCCACTGAAAGCCCAGAGCAGAGGATGCTGGAGAAGAGAGCCAAGGTGATAGAGGAACTTCTTCAGACGGAGAGAGACTACGTTCGGGATCTGGGAATGTGTATGGAGCGGATCATGGTACCCCTGCAGCAGGCACAGGTGGGAGCTGTGGGAGAAAGTTAGGTTTGCCTTGAACGTGGTTCTCCAAGACTGATGCATTAGGGTACGGGAGCTTTCACCACAAAGATTTATTGGGTTTGAAATAAAATGTATTGGGTTTGCTGCTCTTAATTCAAGGGCCCCAGTTTGCATTTGTCATCAACTTAAGCATTCACCATCCTGTCACTTATCAAGTCCATTATTAACTTATTAACTTAAGTTACTGCAATAATTCCTAGGACAATTCCTGTTTCTGTGGCTCCTGAAAACAGTTCCAGTGAGTCTGGGATTGTCACTTTACTGGGAGGCTGTGCAATAATATAATGAAGTCTGGGGATGGTGGGTTACCTGGCTGTAGCACCTGATTGTATAAGGTTTATTCCAGAAAGTCTTACTAATATGTGTATGCTAGACACTCTCTTAGATGCCGAAGATAGGGAAAAAACGTTATTGGTATCCCAGGGATTTACAGTCCTATTGCTTGTTACTTGACCACTTGGGCTCAGCTTGAGTGTGGACTTCTGGAGCAGTCACTCACAGAACTTCTCTAGGAAGTGGACGGTGCCATCCGATTTTGGGTACTGGGTGGAATTTGTGTCCCAGTACAATTATAGAAATTGGTTCTACGGTCATTTTACTATGGTAATGGGGAAGGGGGAGCAGAAAGTATTTGGATCAAGGACAGATGGTGACACTAAAGGCGATGTTAGATGTTCCCATTCTGGAAACTTCGTGAGAGTGAGTGAAGATAACCTTGAGCAGCTTTTGTATCATCCTTTGAAGAGATGTTCCTAATGTGAATGATATGCCATTAATTTTATTTCTGTGCATCTTTGTTTTCTTTTCCTTTCTCAGATACCGAACATTGATTTTGAGGGACTTTTTGGAAATATGCAGATGGTGATTAAGGTCTCAAAGCAATTATTGGCTGATCTGGAAATCAGCGATGCCGTAGGTATGAGCCCCTGCCATTGTTTCAGAAGCAGGTTTTTTTGTTTGTTTGTTTTTTTTAACTTCATAGGTAGGAGGCAGGGGGAGAAGGGCCCAGCTGGTACTGAGTAGTTTCGTTAGGAAAATTAAGTGTTAGTTACTTAGTTCGAAGGTTATTTGGCCCCTGCTTCTCCTTTTATATACCTTGAGGTGATAGAGGATGCTTGCAATAGAAGAAATTTTTGTTGTCACATGATATGTTTTTCAGACCAACAGTTGCAGCCTGTTAGTGGGTCATGAGATCAGTTTAGAACCCAGTAACACAGTGGGTTTATCTTACAGCTAAGGAACCAATCACACTTAGATAAACCTCAGTATTATAGCAGGCTGCTGGCAGATTCGTCCAGCTTTGTACAGGAAGAAGACATTGTTATTCTGGTCAGGAACAAACCTGTCGTCTGTCCAGGAAGGAGAATCTATCTCTATCTTCCAAAGCTTTCTGTTTATATAAACATCCTTGGAAATCTAATCTGGGACAAGAGCTGTCCCAAGACATGTAGAAATGCCGTGGAGAATTGATCTTCAAAAAGTTGCCTTTCGGGCTTCCCTGGTGGCGCAGTTGTTGAGAGTCCTCCTGCCGATGCAGGGGACACAGGTTCGTGCCCCAGTCCGGGAAGATCCCACATGCTGTGGAGCGGCTAGGCCCGTGAGCCATGGCCACTGAACCTCTGCGTCCGGAGCCTGTGCTCCGCAATGGGAGAGGCCACAACAGTGAGAGGCCTGCGTACCGCAGAAAAAAAAAGTTGCCTTTCTTGGGAATTCCCTGGCAGTCCAGTGGTTAGGACTCTGAGCTTCCACTTCAGGGCACCTGGGTTCGATCTCTGGTCAGGGAACTAAGAATCCCGCAATCCATATGGCCAAAAAAAAAAAAAAAAAAGGGATGCCTTTCTTTATTTACAGTCTTATTAATAAAAAAAAAAAACTACTGAATGGTCTCTAAAAAAATTAGCACCCAATATATATTTTTCCAATAAAATAAAATAGAAAATATCAGAATGTACTGTAAATAATAACTATAGTTTTTTGAAACTTTTTTCCAATTCTTTGTATATGTATACTGAGTCACGATTTTTTTTTATTAATTTATTTTATTTTTGGCTGCGTTGAGTCTTCATTGCTGCACACGGGCTTTCTCTAGTTGCTGCGAGCAGGGGCTACTCTTCGTTGCGGTGCGGAGGCTTCTCATTGCGGTGGCTTCTCTTGTTGTGGAGCACAGGCTCTAGGCTCATGAGCTTCAGTAGCTGTGGCACGTGGGCTCAGCAGTTGTGGCTTGCGGGCTCTAGAGCGCAGGCTCTGTAGTTATGGTGCACGGGCTTAGTTGCTCCGCGACATGTGGGATCTTCCCGGACCAGGGCTCGAACCCATGTGCCCCACATTGGCAGGCAGATTCTCAACCACTGTGCCACCAGGGAAGCCCTGAGTCATGATTTTACATGTATTTATTCATGTGGGTCATTGTCAAAATGTTTGAAAAACAATTATTTCTTATAAACAAGGGAATTGTGTTAGTTATCTATTGCTGTGTAACAAATTATACTAAAATTTAGTGCCTTAAAACACGAAACACATTAGGTCACTTTTCTGTGGTTCAGCAATCTGGGAGTGGCTTAGCTAGGTGATTCTGGCTCAGGGTCTCTCATGAGGTTGGAGTCAAGCTGTTACCTGGGCTGCTCTCATCTGAGGCTCAATCAGTGATCCAGTTCCAAAAGCTCACTCAGCTCATCAAGCCTCGGTTCCTTGTCATTTGAGCCTCTTCACCATCTTCATGACCTCAGGACGTGGCAGCTGGCTTTCCTCAAAGTGAGTGATCCAAGAGGAAGAGGAAGCTCAAGATGGGAGCCAGTGTCTTCTTTTTTTTTTAATTTATTTTTATTTTTGGCTGCATTGGGTCTTCATTGCTGTGCACGGGCTTTCTCTAGTTGCGGCGAGCGGGGGCTACTCTTCGTTGGGGTGCTTCTCATTGCAGCGTCTTCTCTTGTTGCAGAGCATGGGCTCTAGGCGCACAGGCTTCAGTAGTTGTGGCTCGTGGGCTCTAGAGCGTAGGCTCAGTAGTTGTGCACAGGCTTAGTTGCTACCCAGCATGTGGGATCTTCCTGGACCAGGGCTCGCACCCATGTCCCCTGCATTGGCAGGTGGGTTTTTAACCACTGCGCCACCAGGGAAGTCCCCCCAGTGTCTTCTATAACCTGATCTCAGATACTACATACCATCACTTCTGCCATATTCTGTTGGTCATACAGACCAGCTCTGGTGCCTTGTGGGAGGGGGACATCCTGTCACTTTGCTATATTATTGGAATCATAGTGACAAGATGCTACCACAGTTCTAGCCATTCCGCTACATACATCAAAACATCTAGCAGAAGGAAAAATTGACCCTGCGTCGTTTAATAGTAAGCAGCCTTTCCAGAGCCCCCTCACCAGAATTCTCTTTGTTTCTCATTGGCCAGAGCTGGGTCACATGCATATGCCTACACAGATCACTAGAGAGGGGAGTAGGCTCATGATGTTGACTTAGGCTAGGTGGTGTTGACCTGACTCACCTGGGAGAGAAATGGACATAAGAACAGTCAGGGCTCTGCCCTCCTGCAGGAATGGCTGTGGGATGTTAGGTGATAGTGCAACTTTGTTAACATTTCTCCGGTATTTATTGTACTCCACACACCCTTTCAAGGTATGTCAAGCTTTATCACACTTGTTGCCTACAACAACCCTATGAGGTTTAGCTGCTATTAATCTTACTTTACAGATTGGAAACTGAGACTTACAGCAGGAAGTAATTTGCTCAGGGTCACATGGCTAGTACTTGATGGGACTGACATTCAGACTCAGGTCTTTTCTGTCATCTCTGCATATGCTGTTAAATTCTGTACAGAACAGCTGCAAGAGAAACTGAAGCCTGGGGTCCTGCTCTCAGTTTAATTGGAGAGGTCAGAGGTCAGGGAGGTTGAGGAAGAAGAAGCACACATTGATTGGAGGTAGCCATGGTGACCCCATTTTTATAGGGGTCACCCTATAAAGCATAAAAGCCAATTTATAGGATTTCATAAGGCACTTGAAATAAGTATCTGTAGGTTATTAATTTGAATTATGAAAGAAATGAGAGAAACTGGTATCTGAAAGGAATTAATCAAACAGTTTTTCAATTTATTTTATTACCTGTGTATTATGACAGCAATAAAAGAGGAAATGAAAACAGAATATCGATAATCTCACCCCCATACAATATCAGCTGTTTATTTTTGTTTTTCCCTTCCCCTTCTTGTCCCAAGACAACCGAGGATTTAGGTATCCAACTGAGATGAGCTGAAGGCATGCAGAGGATGGGGGAGGAGAGGGCCTAGGAACCGCCGGCTCAGAGCTTTACAAGGAGGGACAGTGTGCAGTGACCGTGGTATGCAGTAGGCGAAGCCGAGGTTGGATGAGAGCACCAGCCTGGGGGCTCCTCCAGTCTTGGTCCACCAGGAGGCCAAGCAGTGCATTCAGTGGGGAATTAATAAAGGACAAGGTTTTTAATGTCTGATAAGGGAAGGTTCTGAGAAGTCAGGGAAGGCAAATTAAAGCTTCGCTGAGCCACTAGCAAAGGGCAGATTGACATGAATTGCATAAGCAGTGTTTTATTTTGCTTAAATTTAATTTATTTTAATATATAATACATATTTTATTATATATATATATATTTTTTTTTGCGGTACGCGGGCCTCTCACTGTTGTGGCCTCTCCCGTTGCGGAGCACAGGCTCCGGATGCGCAGGCTCAGCGGCCATGGCTCACGGGCCCAGCTGCTCCGCGGCATGTGGGATCTTCCTGGACCGGGGCACGAACCTGTGTCCCCTGCATCGGCAGGCAGACTCTCAACCACTGCGCCACCAGGGAAGCCCCTGAGTATATTTTAAATGTAACTTATTTTTAATACATTCACATGGCACAAAATTTGAAAGGTACCAAGAACTGCTTAATGAAAATTCTTCTGTCTCTTCCCTGCCACCCAGCTCTTCTCAACCGGAAGCAACTAATGTTACCAGTTTTCTTATATCTCCTTCCAGAGATAGTTTATCATAACAGCAATTACATATATATTTCTCTACCCTGGTCCCCCATCCCCATTTTAAAAATTTGTATAAACAGTAGCATACTATTCAAACTGTTCTGCACTGCGCCTTAACTCCCCTTTTAATAAAAGTATGCCTTCCAAGCAGTTTTTATGACCCAGGAATAAAAATGGAAAAATATACAGTGAGGGGATAACTTGGTGAAAATCCAGGGTAATCCAGGATGCTGGAAAAAGCATCATTAAATTAACTTATAAGCCTGATTGGAGAAGGAGTCTAGTTACAGCCAGGATAGGGTCCACAGGGAAGGAGAGAATGGTAGGTGTTCAGAGCTTGGATGATTTAGAAGACAAGGAGGTTGAGATGAGGAAGAAGTACGAGGAGACTCTGGATATGTAGTAATATCTAAGGAACTGGCTTTTTTATTATTTTAAACATGTCCCACAGAAAGAAATACATTTTACCTAATGACCAGGATACATGTTTGTGTGTGTGCGTCTGTGCTTACTTTTACTATGTTCAGTGTTTTCTGTTCTTTTCTATTCCATTTTATTTCCTCAAAAATGTGCTGATCATACCCATAAAGTAGATTGCATGACCCATTCGTGGGTTTTGACCCAAATTTGAAAGACACTGTAAATTAAGTTGTAGCTTTGTTAGTTTGTAGTTGATGTAGAAGAGTCACCATTAGGGAGGGTAAAACCCATGAATGGATGAGGTGTGAGAGGGAAGGTTCTGGGAGTGCTGGTGGGGAATGGATACGAAGGGGCGAAGACAAGCAAATACCGGATGGTGAAACTGGATAAAGACGTTGGTGGCTCAGGGATTCCAAAGTGGCCCTGAAGGTCAAAAGGAAGCAGCCCCACTCTTAACTCCTGTGCCTGTTGAGTCACAGGATTAGACAGAGAAAGGCTGCCAGTTGGACAGCAGCACGAGTGTGGTTTGTATGGACACAGTCAAGGCTCTCTTTTGGAAGGAGCTATAATTAAGGAAATACATTTCATTTAAATAGAAAGTGCTCTGCACGAGAATAGGGAATTCCATAGGACACAGCATGGAACAGAGGTAACCTTGTAGAGAAAGGGATGGGGTTCCCTGAGGGAAGGGGTTTATGCCCAGAGCGGCTGGGAGAAATAGTTACAGGGGAAGCAGTAAGTAGGGTCATATTTTGAGGGAGGAGCTCAAGGATGAGAGGACGTTGTCTTTTGGGGAGCAGTGCAAGCTGAAGAAGGAAGAAGCAAGTACACAGAGGGAAGAGGGGCAAGAGGAAGAGCACTTTTAACAATTCAGGGAATCGGCACATTCAGGCAGCCGATCTAAATGAAATTGCTCCGGGGAAGTTTGCTTAGGAATCATTCCTGTGCCCAAATGGTGTAGACCAGGGGTCCATGAGTAGATTTCAAGTAGTCCACCAACTTGTATAGATGTTTCTTTATTTATAACAGAAATTTAGCATTGATTTAAGGTATGACTGTAGGGAACAGTGACTTTGTCACCAACTGAAGTCACCTGCTCATATCACATTAAGTTGTTGCAGTATCTCGAAATTCCAGCAATGACCAGAAACAACACATTATACCAGTTTCTTGTGTCACTCATCATACTTTGAAATTATGGTGATTATTAGATTCATTGCTATGTTTTGCTATTCAGTGCTTTATAAAGAAGTACATATATTATTATATCATAGATTCAGGGGGTTTATATTTATATAATATAGTATTAATATATTTATATATTAATTTACATTATAAATTAATATATTTATTAATATGATAAACTTCATAGTCTTGTGTATTTACGTGCAAAGAAAAGGTTGGAAGCTGCTGCCGTAGAAGGATCTCTTCACCCCTGTGGAGATTTGGGGCTTACAGAGCTGAGGGGTCTTTACAGGTTCTGATCACATGCCTATATGGAGAGTACTTGCAAATGCCTTACTCTGCCTGACGGAAAAGGGACTGGACTCTGTTTCAGGGACCAGCTGTGTGTGTGTGCACACATGTGTGCATGTGTATGCATTCTGAAAAATAAATACATGGATGAGATAGTTCTCTTAAATTTTGCTTTAAATAAGTAGAATTTTAAGCTATTACATGGAAATATATTAATTTGAAGGATAGTCTTATTCTCATTTCTTGCGATAGGATTATCTGGTATTAAAGTTTGGTTATATACCTTCCATTTAGTATGCTGAGAAGAAAGTTACTAAAAAAACACTGTATGTTTGTGTATATTCCAAAGGACCGGTGTTTCTTGATCACCGAGATGAGCTTGAAGGAACATACAAGGTTTATTGCCAGAATCATGATGAGGCCATCTCATTGCTGGAAATATATGAGAAGGATGAGAAGATCCAGAAGCATCTTCAGGACTCCTTGGCAGATCTTAAGTAGGAGTTTTGAGCACTTCATTCCATCATAGCTCTTCAGTTCTGCCTTTTGGAAGTCACTCCCATGTCTATGTTATGGATCTATCATATTTTAAACATAAGTGATACATTATCGTAGGTCCTATTATGTAACTTGCCTTTTCCCATTCTATATCATGGAAATCTTAAGTAGCTTCCTGCTTGTAGTTTTATCCATTAAAATCACTTTTATCTATGTACACAAAGTATTAAGTTAGCATTTTCGGGTAAGAAGCTGCCAGGAAGATAGTTTGGTCCAAATGAGAGAAAAGGTAAGCAGATAAAGTCAGTTATTCTTGACCATCAGGTGAGAGTCTCCTGTCTTAGGGAGGCAGGCTATAAGGATATAATATATGTCTAAGTAGGTCAAAGTGAAGTTAAGGGCTTACTGACTTTTTTTAATAGACTAGATATGCCGCCATAGACATTCACAGTTCCCCTTCTATCCCATGTGGTTTTTGTCTACCCATTAGTTGGACTAATATGTTCTGAGAGGAATGTGAAAATCAGCATCAGTATTTTCTTTAATCAGCTGTTTCTTCTTTTCATGCTCACTGCCCTGTAGGAGCCTGTACAATGAATGGTAAGTTCTTGCCACTTGATGCAGAAACTCGTTTCATTATTTTCTTCCTTTATAGACAGAAACCTAGAAGTAGACCTGCCTTGCTGTATTTTCCTCCATAGCACTTACCACCAAATGACACTTCATATAATGTTTGTTTGATTATTGTCTGCCTCTTTCCACCAGGGCAGGGACTTTTTTGGGTCACTACTAAGTCCGCAGCACCTAGAACACTGCCTGGTGTTTATTAGGTGCCCAGTAAATGTGAATGAATGAAGTTGGGAAGTAGGGTGAAAGAACGGAGCTATATTAGGAATAACAAATACTACCTGTAGGCCCTGTGTTACTGACAGTTGATTGAAGTCTCTGTTTTTCCTTCTCTTGAAGGGGATGCACAAATTATATTAACCTGGGCTCCTTCCTCATCAAACCAGTGCAGAGAGTAATGCGCTACCCACTGCTGCTGATGGAGTTGCTGAATTCCACCCCCGAATCCCACCCAGATAAAGTGCCTTTAACCAGTGCAGTCCTTGCAGTCAAGGAAATCAACGTTAACATTAATGAATATAAACGTCGAAAGGACCTGGGTAAGAAAAGCATACTTGATGAAAAGGAGGTATACCCTTAAGAATGTTCTCCTTCTCAAAAGAATTAATTACTTCACCAGAGGTAGACAAGCAGATGGTAGGTAATAGCGCTGTGATGAAGAAATGGTAATAGAATTTGGGGAAAATGAGATAATGAAAGAAAAAAAGCAGTGATCATAATAAAAGCACAACCATGCATGTTGGAAATAAGCCACCTGTGATAAAGCTTATAGCAATGAGTCTTTCCTAAGAGATATAAAGACCTATTAGAGAATGGCTGATCAGGAGAGTTCCTTCAAGCATGAGTGATTGCCTTCTCAACTCATTGAAGGCAGTCCTTTACAGTCCATGCTTATATGTGTTTGCTCCGCACATCTGGTTGGATATTTTAGTGTTTCCACTTAAGCTAGAACTTTTTTGTGTTCTTTCAGAAGACCCGGGTTTGCCCACCTCCCTGGTCCCATCAGTCCTGCCTCTGGTCTGTGCCCCTCCCCTCCCCCACAGAACTGTGCAGTCAGTTGCCAAACACCCTCTCTTTCTTTGTAATATAGAACAAACTGAACCATTTCTTTTGTCTCATCAAATCTCTTGTTGAGGCTTTGATTTTGAACACTCAATGAGTATAGCATGGTGACCGTGCTAAACTGAGTTATTATTCATATCCTCAAAGAATCTATAATATAGCCTCTTTGCCTGTCTCTCCACTATTCTCCATATTTATCTAAAATCATTTTCCCCTTCTGCTTCAGCCATGACACCCGTGTTTAACATTGACTGTGGATGTTAAAGCTCTCTGGCCATCTGGCCCTTTGTCTTGGTTCATATCTCCTCATGTAATGTCATCTTCGTCTCCTACAACAGTAAAGTGTGCCTTTTTGCTACCACTCAACCTTCCCTTGCTACCCTTTTACTCTTATTTCCAGGCTTTTCTGCAGACTGTGCCTGATGCATGACACATAGATTAATCAAAAACTCCTGCATAGCATTTCACTATGAGACGATTGTATATAAATATCTCATTTGCATATGAGACCATTTAAGGTGGTCTTATAAGTCAGGTACTGTTACTTTCTACATCTTATTGGAAAGGAAAATGGGGCTCAGAGAAGTTAAGTGGCTTATTTAAGGCCACACCTTTTTTTTTTTTTTTTTTTGGCCGTACCACATGGCTTGCAGGACCTTAGTTCCCTGACTAGGGATTGAACCCAGGCCCTGGCAGTACAAGTGCAGAGTCCTAACCACTGTACCACCAGGGAATTCCCTAAGGCCACACCCTGATGAAATGACAGACCCAGGCACTGAACTCAGAGGTTTCCTTGACTCCAAATCTCAGGCTCTGTTCCTTACACCTCTGTGACCTTCTTTCCTCGTCTCTAACCTTCTCCAGTCTGTGCACAGTCTCTGCTGTTCTCCAGGTATCCGATCTGTCCATAAATGGTGATTTGGACTAATGTTTTGTGTACTCAGTTATAAGCTCATTGAAAACAAGCACTAGCTCTAGTTTGGGTTGTTAGTCTCATTTGTAGTCTGTCCATGCTCAGAAGAGGGCTTTCTTCACTCACCAATTTGACTCACTCCCCAGTCCTCAAGTACCGAAAGGGTGATGAAGATAGCCTCATGGAGAAAATTTCCAAACTGAACATCCACTCCATCATCAAGAAATCCAACCGGGTTAGCAGTCACCTGAAGCACCTCACTGGCTTTGCCCCACAGGTGAGGTTCCTGCGCTTGAAGTTTCAGCCTGTCTTTGGCTGCTTTTCAGGGCTCCACGGGGCAGCCTGCATGGTATGAATTGGCAAGATTCCCCTCTTAGTACCTCCCCTGGTGTTTGCTAGCTGGTGGATACAGGACCCTGCAGCTACTGTTTATTTAAATCCATCCACCCAACCCTCCATCCGAGCCTTGGTGAGCCGCTTACAGTGTGTATAAAGGCAAATCAGGAGGCCAGATCGGTCACCATGTAACAGTTACCATGGTTTTAGACACCCATAAGGAGCTTATAATCTATTTGGGGAAACAAAATTAAAACTGTAGACATGTTAAGCTAGAAGGGATTTCAGAGATCACCTTGCTCAACACCATAATGTCACACATGAGGAAATGTAAAGTCTAAGGTTTGAGTTATCAACAGAGTAGATCCAGTCTCCAGACTTCATGCACTGAACCATGTGTATGTGATACAGTCAGTGGAAAATACCAGCCAAAGAATCAGTTGCTAAGCTTTGTAGTTTTTTCTCTACATGCTGTGGTACTTAAGAAAACTGGAGCTCCGTGAGAGTGTGCTTCATGTTGGCAAGAGATTTAATCTGAGTCTTAAAGGAGAGGGGCAGGTTTGGCATAGGGAGAGAGGAGGGCAAACCAGGCAAAGCAACAATACTGGTGAAGCAAACAGCCTGACCAGCAAAGGGTTTCCATCAGGAACAGAGGGGGTCAGTTAGAGCCAGGAGGGCCTGTGTGTACTTAGGAGCTCTGTCAAATCCAATTCAGTATGATTCAGGGAAACATCAAAGGCTTAAAATTTAAACAAAAGATGCTTTTAAGAAAGATGCTTTTGCCAGTAAGATCTATAGAGGGAGAGTCCCAATTTGCTAACAGCACTTTTTTATTTTGAACAGATTAAAGATGAAGTATTTGAAGAAACAGAGAAAAACTTTCGAATGCAAGAAAGATTGATCAAATCTTTTATCCGAGACCTGTCTCTCTACCTCCAGCATATCCGGGTGAGTAAAGACATCACTCCCATTAGAATCACATACAGTGGGGAATTCCCTGGTGGTCCAGTGGTTAGGACTCGGTGCTTTCACTGCTATGGGCCTGGGTTCAGTCCCTGGTCAGGGAACTAAGATCCCAGCCAAAAAAATAAAAAGGAATCACATACGGTATAATTCCATCTGCTTTCCTGTTCATCCAGCATATTGCTTAATGAATGTGGAATAACCTGGACTCAAATGACCAGTATGCCATGACAAACTTTTAATTGGGATTCTTACAGATATAAATACTGAACGAATATCCTCCTGTTATTGTTTTATTTATTCATTTATTTATTTGGTTGCAGCAGGTCTTAGGTGCGGCAGGTGAGCAAGTTTTGGCTTGTCACCTCCTTAGTTGCAACACGTGGGCTCCTTAGTTGTGGCACACGAACTCTTAGTTGTGGCATGAGTGTTGGATCTAGTTCCTTGACCAGGGATCAAACCTGGGCCTCCTGCATTGGGAGCGTGGAGTCTTAACCCCACTGTGCCACCAGGGAAGGCCCTCTTACAGGTTATTTAAAAGTTAAACAACGTCAGAAGATCAGCACTGTTATATTCATAGTAAAGGGACCTAGCTCTTTCCTCCCTCTCTTTCGATCTTCATCACCCTTTTTTCCCCCTGTCTCCTGTACCTAGTTATAGAAGAAGCACTTGTGACAGTTCATTTTCTCAAAATCATTTTGAAGATCAAATAGTAAGAGAATGGTTCCTGTGGGGTGTGCTTCGAATAATAATATTTATTTACAACTGTACATAGGCCTCTAAGGTTGTTAGAGCCATGAATAGGTCTAGAGAGTTGGAAGAACTTGGGAGATCAGGCGGGCCCTGGTCTTCCTTCCCTCAGGCAGTGCTTCCTTCATGAAATCAGAACCAGGACTAGAATCCTTTCTCTTAATACCTGTAATTTCTCTGTTGATTTAATAGAATAGTGTTTATATAAGTATACCATATACCCCTGTCCCTCACACAGGAAAATCTCATCCCATGAAACAAATAATTTCCTTTAAAAGAGCTCCTTTGCTTTTTAAAAATGGTTATTGTTATTATTTTTTTTTAACTAAGTAAAATGGTACAAAATTCAAAAACTACCAAAGGGATAAGTATAAAGTAAAAATAACTCCTCCCCCTCCCCTGTCTCCTAGTCATCTATAGAGGCGGACACATCTATCAGATTCTTCTGTCAGAGATATGTGTGTGAGGGAGGGAGAGAGAGACAGACACACACACTCTTGAGCATCTTGGGTTTTGCATTTTGGAAATCGTTCCATATTTGCACACACAGAGTTGCCTTGTTCTTTTTTTACAACTGCATAGTATTTAATTGTTATGGACATGCCATATAAATTTAACTAGTGCCCATCGATGGATGTTTAAGTTGTTGTAAAAAGTTAGAAACATTGGCACGAGAAATATCCTTGCATGTAGATCATTTTTCTGATCTATGTGAGTGTATCTGAAGACCAGAGTACTAGATTTTCTGGGGCAAATCATAAATCAATGCAAATTTCATAGTATCATACCAGTGAAAACTCCCCACCAGCAATGTATGAAACAGTTTCCCCATCCCTTGCTAACATACAGTGTTATCAAAATCAAAATGTCTTATCTTTGCCAGCAAGAAAGGTAAAAATCGCTATTTTAATATAGTTTGAATTTACATTTCTTATATTATGAATGAAGTTGAGGATATTTTTGTATGTTTAAATCATTATATTTCTTTTTCTGTGACTTGTCTATATTTGGGGGCACTTATTTATTGATTTATTGTTCTTTTTCTTATTGACTGGTAGTACCTTTGTATATGTTGGAGAAAAGAGCCCTTCATCTGAGATGCTGTCTTACAAATACCCCCTGCCCCAGTTTGTTGACTTTTGAATTTGCTTAAAATGTTTTCTCTGTGTAGAGAGTTTTATTTTTGTGTAGTCTAACTAAACTGTTATGGTTTCTTAGTTCTGTGTCATACTTTAAAAGGTCTTTCCCATTCCAAGGTAATTTTAAAAAGATGTCCTATGTTCCAGTACTTTTATCATTTTATTTTTTTATATTAAAGTCATCAATCTAGCTGGAATTTACATTAGTATATAAGGTTTGGGGTAGGAATCCAAATTTTTGTTTTTTATCTAGTTATCTGTCATTATCATTTATTGAGTAATACCCACTGATTTGAAGTGCTTCCGACACTTCTTTTAAATAGCAAACTCTCTCCCTTCATGTTTTGAAAATGAGGTCAAGTAAAATTGAGGAACACATTGGCTTAAAGTGGGAGATTTGACCAAGTATGGTTCCCTTGCCTTAGGACTTTACCCTACAATTCCTCTAATTTTGATATCTCCCTATTGGCTGTCTTCTCCCCATGTTATCTAAATGTGTAGCAAGTATACACCTGAGCACCCAACTCTTAAAAAGGCTTGTCTCCCTAGCAATGGGTGACAGCCCTTGGACGGGCAGGTCAGTTTGGTTCTGACTGCTAACTGCTATCTAGGATGAATGATGGAGGCTAGAAGTTCTGTCTGGTCTTACCTGTGTTTGTAACTGGCTTCAGGAATCGGCATGTGTGAAGGTGGTGGCTGCCGTGAGCATGTGGGATGTGTGCATGGAGAAGGGACACAGAGACTTGGAACAGTTCGAGAAGGTGCATCGCTACATCAGTGATCAGCTCTTCACAAATTTTGTAAGTGACTCTTCAGCCCACTTTTTCCAGGCTGGGCCTCTTCCCAGGGTTCTCTCTAACATCCAGCTCATGGAAAAGTTAATTCCATAGAGACACGCTTCCATGGACCAGGAATCCTAGTGTTCTTTAGCTAAGTTCATATCAGAATTTTATATTCAGAACCTGACTTTCAATCAGCTGTAAGGACAGATAGGACCTGCATGTATGCAAACAGATTTTTTTTTTTTTTTGCAGTACACAGGTCTTTCACTGTTGTGGCCTCTCCCGCTGCGGAGCACAGGCTCTGGATGCAGAGGCTCAGCGGCCATGGCTCACGGGCCCAGCTGCTCCGCAGCATGTGGGATCTTCCCGGACCGGGGCACAAACCCGTGTCCCCCGCATCGGCAGGCGGACTCTCAACCACTGTGCCACCAGGGAAGCCCTGCAAATAGATTTTTTTTATAACTTGTGATCAGCCCAGTTTCAGGGGATAAAGGAAAACCAGGAAATTTAATCTGGTATCACTACTGATAACTGATCAAAAGAAAACAACTAAAGAGCTAATAACTTAAAACAGAATATTTATGCATAGTTAAGAGATTAACAAATAGATTTTTGAAACGGCACAAACTATTTTGTAAAGACTACTAAATGCCAGATTGCTTGGGAAATTCTATATATCTCTCCTGAGTAGAAATGGGTGGGCTTTGATAGTTTCTTGGAGATCTCTGGATGCTTGAAGCATCTTTAGAAAACATTGGGGGAACTTGGGGGAATATACAGTTATTCTAACAGTAGCATCTTATTAAAAGTACTTTACTAAGCACCTATTTATGTTCTTTTGTGTCAATATTGTGCCCTCTATGTCTATCCCTCTAGAAAGAAATAGACAAAAACTTTTGAAAAGTGAAAACAGATTATTACTAAGTAGTTATGAGTAGAAGAGGTATGATGGGTATGTGAAAGTTTCTCTACCCCAGCTTTATGTAACAACCAAATCTTTTTAAATTTATTTCTTATTGATGTATAGTTAAATTACAATGTTATGTTAATTACTTCTGTACAGCAGAGTGACTCAGTTACACATATATATGCATTCTTTTTTATATTCTTTTCCATTATGTTTTTTTTTTTACACCAAAGAAAAATTTATTAAAGTATAGATTACTGGTTATTTAAAAACACATGAGAAAAGACAGACATACAAAGGCATTATCATACAACTGATTTCTAAACTCAATACTTTTGAAATACAAAACAATGATCATTACCTCCAAAAGTCAGTTTGAAACAAATTGACTTTTAAGTTGGTATTATAATTCTTTTCACTCAATTTTGCTTACAAATGTTCTAGGTTTTTCAGTTTCGTCACATATCAGAACTTCTTTTTGACATGTTTACTTCTCAAAGTAGAATATAGTTATTTCTTGCAGTTAATGTCAGCAACTATAGAAAGCTTCTCTTAAGTCACAAGGATTCAATATGGTTGCTGCTTTGGAAATAGTTACCATTCTTAGTTATCTATACTAAGACTCGTGTATTGACAGGCAAAATGTTAATGGGCAAAGTATGGAGATTGAGAGCAGGAGGACTAAGGAAAGATACCTTTTACTGCAGACCTGCTAAAAAAAGACTCCATTATTTACTCTGATAGTATTGCTAGAGAAGCAGTTTCTGCCAGATCACAGGTTGGCTATGTAGTTGTCCATTTTAAATTTCCATCGGTAAAGAATGGCAGACTTCAACAATTAGATTGCTCAACCGAATAAGCAGAACTTTAAGTTACCATATACTTTAATTACAAGAAATAAATTATTTTCTTAATTGGTTTAGCAGCCTTGTACCTGGAAAGGCAGCAAAACCCACTTTGTTCCAAAATTAGAAGGCCGACTCAGAGGCTGCTTCTAAGATGCCTAACTATCTTCTATCATCAATCAGTCATGAAGGTGGACCTTCATGAACTCAGTAAATTAATAAATGTAAAAATGAACTCATCTATCAACACAATGTTGATCCTACAAAACCAAAAAAGTACATTCATAAGGTAGGAATTGGTTTGTATAAAACAAGAGGGTATATATCCTCTTATATAACACAAGAGGAATATGCATGGTAATAAAAACAATCTGTAATAAACTTGTAAAGAAATGATTCTGGTTTACATGTAACTCTGCTTAAACTGACCATGACTGAATGATTAAACATTTTCTTCTCCTAACATAATGCCCATTCATTATAAGCTAAGCTGGACTTAGTTTCTTATAAATCTCTTATTTCCTTGGATTTATCTACTACACCCTTACTTTATAGCCATTTAACTTATAAGCTGGGCCTGCCCAGCCTGCCTCTAAAGCCCCTCGTCAGAAGGATACCAGATTCATTAAACAGAGGCATCTTCTCATAAGAATCTGCACTTCAAAACAGCATATGAAGAACCAGCAATTGGCTCTCCAATGTAGCCACCTCTCATTTCACATTATCACAGAAACAGTGCAGTTTACTAACCACTCCTTCCTTACAGAAAACTCAGTAGCTGTAAAAATTTTTGTTCATTTCAGAACATATTTCAATACTTATTAATTCCAAAGATCTGAACACCATGTAGCTGTGGCATTTTGGGAATTAGCACACTCAGGAGAGAAGCTGTGTTTAAGATGAAGTGAGTTGGATCATACTTCATATAGAAACTTGCCAGAAAATATAGAATTATTGGAGAAATTGTGAAAAACTTCCTTGAAGATGTAAACTGTACCCCATAGTCCAGTTGTTCCCAATGAGTTAGGAGCCTCACTTTACCCTGGTCAGGAGTTTCAAATGGTGTTCCTTTTACTGCATGCAGAAATACATACATGCCCAGATTATGTATAACATTTGTTAAGGTCCAAGCAACAGGAACACTGAAGAAGGGAATACTGAGTAAAACGATATGAAGCAAGCCAACTCCCAATGCATATGTCAGCCACATACCCCTGCTGTTCATTACACGGGTATTTGGATTCACCTCACTGTGGGCAGCTCCAACATTCATGTTTGCGCCGCCACCCCACTCCTGGCGGCTGGCTGGCTCAGAGCAGTATCAGCTCCTCGGCGGCATCTCCTCCATTATGGTTTATTGCAGGATATTGAATATAGTTCCCTGTGCTACACAGTGGGACCTTATTGTTTGTCCATTCTCTATACACCAGTTTGCATCTGCTAATCCCCAACTCCCAATCCAAGCCTCTCCCACCTCCTTCCCCCTTGGCAGCCACCAGTGTATTCTCTATGTCCCTGATTTTGTTTCTGTTTCATAGATACGTTCATTTGTCATATTTTATTTATTTATTTATTTTTGGCTGCATTGGGTCTTTGTTGCTGTTGCATGCGTGCTTTCTGTAGTTGCAGAGAGCGGGGGCTACCCTTTGTTGCAGTTCATGGGCTTCTCATTGGGTGGCTTCTCCTGTTGTGGAGCACAGACTCTAGGTGCATGGGCTTAAGTAGTTGTGGCACGTGGGCTTAGTTGCTCCGCAGCATGTGGGATCTTCCCGGACCAGGGCTTGAACCCATGTCCCCTGCATTGGCAGGCAGATTGTTAACCACTACGCCACCAGGGAAGTCCTGTGTCATATTTTAGATTCCACTTCGTTCTTTTTTATGGCTGAGTAGTATTCCATTGTATATATGTACCACATCTTCTTTATCAATTCACCTGTCAACAAACATTTAGGTTGTTTCCATGTCTTGGCTATGGTGAATAGTGCTGCTGTGAACATAGAGGTGCATGTATCTTTTTTTTTTTTTTTTTTTCGGTACACAGGCTTCTCACTGCTGTGGCCTTTCCCGTTGCGGAGCACAGGCTCCGGACGCGCAGGCCCAGCGGCCACGGCTCACGGGCCCAGCCGCTCCGCGGCATGCAGGATCTTTTTTTTTTTTTTTTTTTTTTTTTTTTTTGCGGTACGCGGGCCTCTCACTGTTGTGCCTCTCCCGTTGCGGAGCACAGGCTCCAGATGCGCAGGCTCAGCAGCCATGGCTCATGGGCCCAGCCGCTTTGCAGCATGTGGGATCCTCCCGGACCGGGCACGAACCCATGTCCCCTGCATCGGCAGGCGGACTCTCAACCACTGTACCACCAGGGAAGCCCTCTCTTTTTGAATTATGGTTTTGTTTAGGTATATGCCCAGGAGTGGGATTGTTGGGTCATATGGTAATTCTATTTTTAACAACTAAATATTAAGTTAAATTCAAGTTATATATAGACATGTACACATAAATGATACCAGACAGATGGTCACAAATGGGTTGTAATGCAAACATCATGTTCATGTATGTAGTTTAGCATTTGTTATCAACTATGCAGCTATTTTGCACACTCTTTGGCGTGAGCAAATAGTTGGGTGAAGAGTTATAAGCTGAGAAGCTTTGTGGAATATGTGCGTACATCTGGTGTCAGATCTGCATGGGTTTAGCTCGTGCACTAGGAGCAAAGCAGGTGGTACAGGACATAACAAAATCTACCTGAAGATAGTTTTGAGAATAACAAATTCGGGACACTGAACACCGTGCCTTTCTCGTCCCCACAGAAGGAGAGGACAGAGCGGCTGGTCATCTCTCCCCTGAATCAGTTACTGAACATGTTCACGGGGCCCCACAAGCTGGTGCAGAAACGCTTTGACAAGCTTCTGGACTTCTATAACTGTACAGAACGGGCAGAGAAGCTGAAGGACAAGAAGACCCTGGAGGAGCTGCAGTCGGCCCGGAACAACTACGAGGCCCTGAACGCCCAGCTGCTGGACGAGCTGCCCAAGTTCCATCAGTACGCGCAGGGCCTCTTCAGCAACTGTGTGCATGGCTACGCCGAGGCCCACTGTGACTTCGTGCGCCAGGCGCTGGAGCAGCTGAAGCCGTTGCTCTCGGTGAGGCCCGCCCTCCCCATGGAGAGGTAGACTCCCAAGTTCTCCTGGAGTTTTTCTGGGAATACACAGCCAGATTGTCAGAGACATTATTAAACTAGGTAGATTAAGTATGTCACTGGGTCAGGCCTGTCGGGAATCAGAATTCTTGATCCATTGATGGAGCCAGGGAACCCGTGGCCTTTAAATGGCTCTCCTTCCACCCTGAGAGATCCCAGAGGAGCCAGCCAGCTCAGGCTGCGGGCACTGGGCTGCGGTGTTGGTGGCTTACACTTGAGGAGTTTTAAGGAGACTGTGCCAGTCCTGGGATCGTTCACGTGTATTCTCTTCTTTCCTCTGTCTCTGCTCTCCCTGTGCATGGACTCCAGTTACTCAAAGTCACCGGCAGGGAAGGGAACCTGATTGCCGTCTTCCATGAGGAGCACAGCAGGGTCCTGCAGCAACTCCAGGTTTTCACCTTCTTCCCAGAGTCTCTTCCTGCCACCAAGAGGTCATCTGAAAGGAAAACTATGGACCGCCAGTCCACCCGAAAGCCACTCCTGGGCCTGGTGAGTGGAACTGGAGAGGCTCATATGGCCTGGTGGTTAAGGTGTGAACTCCTGAGTGAGACCGCCTGGGTTCAGATCCCAATTCTGACAGTGACTCATCTGTGTCCTTGAGCAAGTGCTTCATCGGTTTCCTCATGTCTATAACACAGATAATAGTTATACCTACATCATAGAGTTGTTCTGAGATTCAAATGAGTTAAAATATGTAAAACACTTGGACATTGCCTGACACCATTATTAGTTAGCATTATTCAAGTAAGCTATTATCATCATCATTATTATTATTAATATTGATGGACTCAGCTCTGTCTCTACAGATGAGCAATTTAATAGGAGTTTAAATATTTTATAATAATTGGAGAATAAAGGTTATTGAGTTCAAATCTATCATGCTCTCACTCATTCCTTCCTTCACTCACTATCACTAGGTACCACTAGTGTGCCTCCTGGTACAGACTTCAAAATGCCCTCTGAAAAGCATTCTTGGATCCTATCCTATACAATAAAAGGAGTTAGTAAAGAATTAATATTAGTATTTTGATCAGTGAAAGGAACCGGTTTAAGGGTATGTTAATTCTGCCAGGCTCCCTATTTTTGATCATGTATTGGAAAAGGTGGTTATCTGATACACTGCCGAACAGTTAATGGCTGACCACTTTTTAACCTGGAGTTATTTTCTTTTTGAACTCGATTCTTGCATATTCTGAAAAGTAGGGTAAGATATACCAGATTATATGGGGTAAAAACCTAAAAGACTGCTGATTTATCGGTGCTTACAATATTTTTGCCCCATGTAATCCCATAGACATTAATTTATATGATCTAAAAGAGGGAATCAGATTTTTTAATCACGTTTACTTTTTCTTATTTTTATGAGTATTGTTTTTATAGATATGAAGTCTAGATAAGGAAAGTCTCAGTTGTTTAGATTCATACAGTAAAACACAAGAAGACCTACTCATATTACTTAGATATTTTGATTCTTTAGGTGGCACTTTAATCACATATTTTTGTCACAGGATAACAGATATAAAACTAAGGGTGTGTTAAATTTTCTTATTACAAAGGCACCAAAACGTGACCTAAGAGATTATGATTTTTACCTATAGCCACATGGACTGACTCATGCGCAAAGGCATCTGATGGGAGTACGGAGCTGGCTGTCATTGCCTCCGCTTCTGAGACTGACAGCATATGGGATTAAATATGGCTGCTGGGATAACGGCCAGGAAGGGGTTTTGATGATTGTATTTCTTATATTGCCTTTCAGCCAAGTTACATGCTTCAGTCGGAAGAACTCCGGGCCTCCCTCTTGGCAAGGTATCCCCCTGAAAAGCTCTTCCAAGCAGAACGGAACTTCAATGCTGCCCAGGACCTGGACGTCTCACTTCTGGAAGGTGACCTGGTGGGCGTGATTAAGAAAAAGGACCCCATGGGCAGCCAGAACCGCTGGCTGATTGACAATGGAGGTAAGAACAGTAGGCGACAGATTATTGTAACTCTAAATGAGGAAAGAGGGATT